GCACCCTGATACCCTTCTAGATCATTATGTTTAGCCTGAAAGACATTCTTCAAAGTCTTTCTCTGACCCCTCAGGTTAAATGGGCTCTTCTGTCTTACTCTGACTTGTACTTCATCTCTACCAGGCTTATCAAAATCCGAGGTTATATATAAGTCTTCTGTTTTATGTCTGTTGCTATTCCTCAGATTGTCTATCTCATTCACTATTATAATTCCAGCATCCATCATAGAGCCTGGCACATGGTAAATGTTAAATTCTATTTGTTGGATAAAGGAATGAGTGAACACATAAGCAAGTGCAATAAGGTCATGGTGAGGGACAGAAGCCTTGAAATAGGATCCACTCAGCACATGCTGTTATTTTACATGTTCCTAAATCAGTGACCAAATTCCCCTGCACCTGGAGCTGGTGAAAAGGAGGACACTTCCACTTTCTTATATGATAAGGGATTAAATAATAGGAAGGAAAGGAGAGGATAAGGGAGAGGAAGGGAAGGGAGGGAAAGGAAGAAACAAATTTTTAAGAAACAGACAGCAGATAGGATCATCTCCACATATAAAACTTTTTCATTCTGAAATAATTCAGACATAAAGGAGGAAGAATATAGCCAATAGAATTTCTGTAAATTTAATGCATACTCTCCAAATGTTAACATCTTATAATGTTTGCTTTATCAATCTGTTTTTTTCTGACCCATTTGAGCATAAATTGCAGACATAATTCCATTTACTGCTAAATACTTCAATGTGTTTCTTAAAAACAAAGATATTCTCTTCTCTTATATAACCACAGGCCAATTATCAAAAAAAGAAAATTGCACTGATAAAGTAGTTACCTCACAGAATTTACATAAATTCTGCTCATTGCCTCACTCCTGTCCTTTATAGTTATATATGTGTGTGCAAATATAAGCATGCTTATACATGTGTGTTATAATTTTTTCCACCATAATTCAATCCAGGATATTATATGTTACATGTAAGTTGTTATATCTCTTTAATGTGAAATAGTTTGTCATTCTTTGCCTTTAATGACCTTGAMATTTTTAAAGAATACAGTTATTTGTAAATGTCATTCAATTTCCATTTGGCCACTTCCTCATGATTAGATACAAATTTTGCATTTGGGAAGCAGGAATACCACCCAAAAGATGGTGTTCTTTTAAGAAGTATATGAAATTTATTTGTCCTATTACTGTCGATGTCAATTTTGATCACCTGGCTATGGTGTTAGTATTTTTCCTTTTATAATTAGTAAGTTTTTATGAAAGGTATTTTGATATTATATAAATATAATGATAGCAATTTTGTAAATTATATAAGTCTGCTCTGAGAACCAATTACTTTTGCATAAATATAAACTTGGGAAAATAGTTAAGATGTGCTTTTGGGTCACAAAATAGCTTAGTGTACAACTTTTCCTTCTCTAATGGTCTATTAATATTATACGTTACCTTCTTGTGCATATGAAGAAAGGAACCATTTAGAAGTAAATTTGTCAAAGAACATAATAAAATCTCTAATCTCATTCCTCATTTATTGGATAGGAAACCTAAGGCCCAACTGGCTAACTGACTTGCCTAAGATCAGGCAGGTAGACACTTCAAAGCAGACCTGAAAATAATTAAGTGTTCACTGTAGAGCAAGAAAGGCAAATGTCAATATATTGTCCTTTGAATATATAAGTCCTATACATTCACCTAAAGCAATCTAAGGCAGATTTGCTAGGACCCTTTTCGAAAATAACAAACTTCTTCCAAAAATTCATAGAATATCTTCTGTGGAGCCACTATAGAATCTAGGGACGTACAGAAACTCACTGGGTTCCATCTTTGTTCTTTTCTTCACTTTTGGAAATACTCTTAAGTCATTCCAAAGGTCAAGAAAAACATCCTATATCCTGGGACACAGTCAGCACGTAATAGGCTGCTAACATAGAAATGCTATACTCCTTTTCAGTACTCTGGATGCTTGTTTAATTCTAATAAATATCTATTTACATGTTATTTTTCATGTGTATAAGGTAGTTCCATCTTAATATCTAATTTTTACACCACAAAATTGTTTCAAAAAATGCTAATCTTGACCAACTCAGAAGTAAATAGCCTCTATATTGCCCTGAGACTTCTTTTCCAAGATGATTATATGACTTAAAGATAGAATAATAGGTAAGCACTATAAAGATAGCCTGCATAGTCTTTCTATATAGAAATTGCAACATTTTCTCCTTGACACCTCCTGGCACAACAAGCATGAAAACATAAGTAGTGTTTGCATTAAAGGTTAACCCTGAATCAAGACTTGGTATAAAGTGAGTAAGACATATATTTTAAAATCGTAAAAGTAAAGAAGTAAATTGTTCCAAGAATTACAATTYGTAAATTTATTCAAACCTTAGAAATGTACAGAAGCACATAATGCATCAGAAGGCTGAGTAACAGTAGTGGCAGAAGTAGGTGGTAGAGTCAGTGATAACTTCTATGGGGTATATACCATGTATGGGCACTATGCTAAATGCTCCACATGAAATACCTCATTGAATCCTCAAGACCATTTAGTGATCTTCCCATTTAACATAGAGTGATTATAAAATAAATAAAAAATTGGGATAGAATAATGAGTTTGATCCAAAATTATAATTTTGTTTTATGTTCATGAATGAATAATCTTGGAGAGTTAACTATGCATTATTGTTGCTGACTAGTTTATGCCTTCATTTCTTTCAGGAGTGAAGGAGTGATATCTTCTTGAATCACTCCACTTTTTTTTTTAATATTACCAGGGATTGAACTCAGGGGCACTTAACTACTATGCCACATCCCCAACCCTTTTAAAAATGTTTATTCTGAGACAGGGTCTTGCTGAGTTTCTGAGGGCCTCACTAAGTTGCTGAAGCTGGCTTTGAACTTGTGATCCTGCCTCAGCCTCCAGAGCTGCTAAGATTATAGGCATGTACCATCACACCTGAAGTGAATTACTTCTTATGATAAAAAGAAAAAAATCTAATTCCCCTAACCCAGACWTTCCTGAGTTTCCCCATCAAAAGCTAAGCCCCATAAAGGCAAGGACTTCTACTTTTTAACTGCTATATCCCAGGACCAGAACAATGCCTTGTCTGTSTAAGGTATTTTATTTGTCAGTCTCTCTAAAGACCTTTTGGATTATATTTGGTTTTATTCATCAATAGTTTTATATTTAACTTACATTAAATTTTAAATGAGTGGCTTGCCTTCCTTTCTTAATCAAAAAAGTGTTTTAGTGGCTTAAGTTGCTGAAAAGATAGGGTACAGATGTTTGAACTCATACTCATTTTTGGAAAATGGCTCTGTAAGCTAGTATGGATATTCAAATTTATTCTTTTGGCTATGGTTAAAAATAAAAAAGAACAATACAGTCTGTAATTCCTTTCCTGGCTGCTAAACAAGTTTGAGTACTAAATACTCCCATTAAACACTAAAGACAAAATTATGAAGTTAGGCAACRTCATTGCTGGACAACGTTCTCTGATCCTAAGCATGTGCCAAGCTCTGACAAAGGGCCTGCAGTGGACCAGACAGACACAGGTTAACAGCCTTCCTAAGACTAWTAAGTCCTCCCTGGTTGCCCACCTCTCACCCCTGGGGCTCTAGAACTGAGTGAACAACTCAGATAGGACTGGGTGAAACTGACCTCCTCTGTGAGTTGTATTATGTCTGCTGCTAGAAAGGCAAAGAGGAAAAAAAAAAAAAAACATGGAAAATTCTCTTTTATGCAGCAGGGAGAAGTCAGAACCTTGACAGACTTCAAGGAAATTTGTAGAAAAGCTGTTTTCTTTAGGGAAAACTTCCATTTTTCAATGAGTAAAAGTTATAGACTGTATGATAATCTAAGATAAGTTGAGTCATATTGGGCTAAAAAATAGATAAAATTTTAAAGGTATTTAAAGTTTCAATATAAARTGTGTTCTTACTACTTTCCCTGTTTAGTGTTGGGCATGTGTTGCTGATCACTGCAGGGAAAACAGCTATTGAGCTATTCAAATAAGAAAAAGCCTGTCAGCTGATGTGACAAATTACTTGCATATTTACTTATATTGAAGTGTATGAAATTTTACTGGCATTGTTGGAACCCTGAGTATACCTGTTTCCCTTTTAGTGTCTGCTTTTAGGGGAAAAAATAAAGTTAAAATTATATTAAACAGCTGCAAATTCTGTTTTCAAGTACCCCTAGAACTTCCAGTTTTGCTTAGGCTAAAGATTCTAAGAGTAATAAAATTGTTTTCATTTTTCCCTTAAAAGAGATTTATTTTTTTAAAAAAAAATCATATCAAAATAAGGGTCGGAAAGCACACTTTCTTCTCCACATTTTTCATCACAAAGTTCTCTTTACATGCCATATCTATCTCCAGGAAGATTATGTCACATTAAAYAGTGAGGGGGAAAAAGTTTTGTCAAGGTCTCACGTTTAAAACCTGACAGGTTTCTGTTTGCATGCTAATCTTTTGTAGCTAGTTGTGGCAGATGCTCATTCTGAAAATAGTAGCTGAAATGTAGTTTTAGAAATACTTCCAGCCAACAAAATACACTAGCCATTTCAATATCCTGAAGGTAGTCTTTGAAATGGGACCATAAGCAYACAGGAGATACTAGATGGGGAGAGCTGTAAACCAGTTTTATTAAATACTATTCCTCAAACAGCATTATGGCCACCAATATTAAGTGTAAATTAAAAGTCTGGCTAATATAAAAGAGAATAGCATAAAACTTTACACATTAACATACCCTTACATTTTGGCTATTTTAATGCAAACATAATTTTGAATTTGGCACAAGGATCTAAAACTAGACATGTACATAAACCTGTTGGTCCTCTGATTCTGCTTAGCTCCAGAAAAAAAGTCCTTGCTCATTGCATTAGCATATTAATTGGTTATATTTCAAAGTTTGGAATGAAGATGTTTAATGCTATTTTGCCTCCAACCCTTAAGTGACAGCAAATCGTATTCTCAATTATAATACTCACAGCTGTTGCCTGCTCTATTACCCCTCTGTCCAGCTGAATGTTCTGGCTCCTTGTATGGAAACTGTAGCGTCGTATCTAAGGTTCTGAACCCTTCTTTAAGAGAATGATGCTTGTAGTACTCCACAAGTTCCTGAAAACGAATCAAAGATTTATTTTTTATAAAGATGCATTTGTTCTCAAACACACAAACTCCTGAACACATAATTATATAAGGATGATCAACTTAAGGCTAAGTTCTCCATATATGGACAAGTGAGTGAATGATGATCTTTTGCCACTGTCTGGATGTACACAAACCTACCTGGGAGTTGTCCTTGTTACTCAGGACATTTATCATAAGACTTAGCCTCTATTGGTCTTYTTGGATATAGAATATCTTGTTAGTCTTCAGTCAGATGTGGTAAATGAAAAGAAACCATACCAAACCTCCATTTCAGAGTAGTAATTATTGTTCTTATTCATGAAATACTTGCCTTTCTAAATAAAAATAAAAGGAACAGCTGCTTGCTTAATATATAGCAATTTCTAGTTTCCTGCATTTTCTTTCAACATGRCAAAAAACACACTTGACACTAAGTGTATTTTTCCATGGTAAACAAAAGTTGATAATGCAAAAATGCTACTCGACAGTGTTTCTGGTTTATAACAAAGTGTTGGTACCCATTTTAGCTCTATACATCACCTAGTATACTCACAGGGGTGAATAATATAGTTTGTTCAATTTTCATTTATGAATAATTTGCCTTAAATATATCTAATTCCAATGTCATAATCATCCACCATTTTTCAGACTAAAACTTCAGGAAATTTCTTTTTACATGTTGGTTTCATAAATTCTGCACAAATTTTAATCCCTCTAATATAAACCAAAATTGAATAATAATTAATTCATAATGGGAAATGTACCTTATCATTAGATGAGTATTATAAAGCTTTTTACAAATATATAAAATGAAAATAAAAGCAAATTCACTCTTAACCCAATTATTTGGTGCTTGTATTATAGCACCTTTAAAAATTAGTGGAAAAGAATCTCATTTCTTCTAAAAAAAAAAATCACACTGTTGATTGACTCAATAATTCCATTCAGCAGTTATGTTCAAAGTTCCTAAAATAAATCAATTAGGCCAAAAAACACCCAAAAGAAGAAAGAAAGAATCATCAGTGATTTATTATTTATGACTAAACTTCGGTATGTTGGGGACTTCTCTGTGCTGGGAGTATCAGGGTCACAGAGATTATAAAGACAAGGCTCCACTCTCTAGGAGTCTCTTCCTAGAGGGAAAATGGAAGGATTGTGGGAACTCAAAGGCACAGAGAGAACTTCTTGTGGTATGTCCAATGGGGAGGATGAGAGAAGGCTTCAGGATGGAGACACCTTAGATTAAACTGAAGACCAAGTAAAATTTCAACAGACATAAATGGGGAAGGATCGTTTTATGTGGAAGAGCCAGGCTGAGAGACACACCAAGGTGATAAAGTAAAAAACAAACAAACAAACAAACACCCTCATAAAGTAAAAGCACTGGATAAAGTAAATGGAGACTTTTTTCAATCCTTATTCCTATAAAATGGAGATAACAAACCATTTCACAGGCTATAAGGAAAAATACATACAGTGCCTGATACGTGTGGATAATTATAACAGCTGCCACTATCCCATGAGCCAGGCTCCCTTGTAATCTTCACTCAAGAACCTTATGAGGTGGGCYTCATCCCCACTGAGGCTCATATCTCAGAGAGGCTAACTGATTTGTGTAAGGTCACAAAACTTGTGTCTGTCTCCAAAGTTTGGGCTTTTAACTACATCACATTATTAGCAAATAGTACATGGCAAATGTAAATATAAAAATCAAAAAATGGGGAAGCAAAGGGAAGTGGTATTTGTTAAGAGTCCACAATGTGCCACAAACTTTGCTTTCTCAGATGCTAGGGTCTAACGCACATGATAACTTTCTTAACTTCTTTAACCTTCTTCCTTCCTTTGGCCCAGATAATGAGTGTGCTTGATGAAAAAAAAGAATTGTGGAATCTGACCAATCTTTAAAGATAGAGAAAATGAAACAAAGCAACAGAGACTAGTCTGTATCTTCAAAATACTTCCAACCATCAGAATATGGCATTTGTATTGTGGTGATTTTTAATGCAGTTTGCTAAAGCTACATCAGGAATTAAATTCAACTTAGTGATGAATATTTCTATAAATTTTTTTAAAGACAAAGAATAATTTGTCTTTTAAAAAAGATTTCTTGAAGAATAGTACTTCTATAYATTATGTTGCTGATGCAAATGATACCAGAGAGGTGTTCTCTTAGTCTTTAGATTGAGTCAAATATTGGCATTATGAAAATAAACCTGAAAAGAATAATAAGACAATAGCTTTGAACTACCATTTGATCTCATTGGCAGTGATATGAATTCTATGTATTTTTTTATGAATTACTATTAACTAATGTTCATAAAAAGTTGGCTAGGAACTATAGAATTATATACTGAAAAAGGGATTTGGTAATCATTTAATACTCCTCCCTCCCTCCAAACTTTACAGAAGAAAAAAATGACTTTTCCAAGGCTTGGGGTCATGCAGCTTAGTAAGCTTCAAGACACTCTTTAACACTTCGCTAAGCATAGAAGATATTTTCGTTCCATTTTCACAGTCTTATGAGGGTAAATCTTCCTACATGTCTCTGAGCAGAATTAAGTAGTGCCACCATGGATCTATTCCAATCTGTGCCTTTATGCTTTCTGTATTTTAGCCTAATCCACCCCTGCTTTTGCAGTCATTGACCTTCAGGTACAACAAGTAAATAAGGCAACTCTAAACAAAAGAAATCGCTAAGCTTTCCTTATCTCACACTGRCACAGCAGTGTCAACAATTCAAGTCTCTCTGAAAAAATAATGAGAGCCAGTCATTGCAATTACCAAGGAAACAGGCAATGGAAATGGTTTATAAACARCATTTGGACATGGATGGTCTGGCATACATGAAAATTAGAACAAAATTAATGCCTTGTAATCTGGATACAGAAATTCTTTTAGGATTTGAATTTAATGACTAAGAAACACAAAGATTTTGATTAACCAAGCTATTGAAACCCAAGGGGAAAAGGTTTGGTCCCAACCACCTAAGGCCACCCTTCTTTTTGAGGAACTGGCTGATTTAAAATAAGCTCCACAGTCTGCTTTGTGTTTCCAAATAAAATTTACTTCCAGGCCCTGTTGTGATTCATAGGTAGAACTTAACTTTAACACCAGTGACAATGGAACACTGAACTATTCTTAAGAAACAACTCAAAGCTTCAGACCACTTCTTAACTTGTAATGCAAAGTGCATTTATTTGGAACGAACATGATTAGAGGGATCTCTCAGAGGTGAGATGATTGTGATTTTTAAGAAGCCCCCATACCTCTTAACCTCTTCTTCCAGAGGGATTGAGCCACTCCTTCTGACTCAGCATAGGTCCAAAGGATAGTACTATTGTGAGGTTCTGGGTACAAATGTATTTACTAACCTGTAAGCTTTTTTTAGATGAGATAAGTTGTTTTTTAATTCTCCAAAACCACAGTGATTTCACATAGAAAAGGCTCAGTATAAATTTGCTCAATGAATGAACAGAAACAGAAAGAAAGGGAGATCTGAAACCTAGTTCAGGCGCCTCTTTAGCAATTTTCATGCTTATTTGTTACACTTGCCAAAGGACTTTTCTGATACTTAAACTTTTCAGCTCCTTAGCCTTTCTTAACTTTTCACAATTACATCTTCTTGCTAGTTTTTAGCCTCACTTGTAGCTTTGTTTAATTTCCTTCTCCCTTGAATCCACTGTGAAATGTGCTTCTCTGCAAAAGATCCCCAGATATAAAGGGGGAAAAAAATACATGCATGTGTCTCTAACAATGGCATTTCTGAGATTTGTTTTATAAGAGTAGTTTATCTCAGCTCAAAGACAAATATTCTTAATTCCTTTTCCAGAACACTGAGGCAAAAACTTTAATGCTCACTAGTATCAATGATCTGAAGTCAGGTCATGATTGTTTTTAYTATAATCACAGCTTTACATGTAGATAAGAACTCAGGGATCTCTCTACCCATCCAGGTGGCTGTGGGGTTACCGGCTTTTCACAACTGACCTTCATCACTGAAGAAGTTCCTAAAGCTGAACCAAGGTGATGCAAAGCTAAATTGACTGGCCCTTTCCAGTGGCTATTCCTTTCATCCTCTTTGCTCGTTTCCTCTGATGGGAGTTCCTTTCGCTGCTTCCAAAGTGTGGAAGGCTGGAAGTCATCTTTCGCCCTGCAGCATTTTTTTTTTAAGGGCCATATGAACTATAATACTGTGGAGCAGCCTCATTACCATCCAAGGAAGTTCTGCAGGTGGAAGTTCACACTGGCATGTCTTGCAGAGATGTGGAGAGCCCTGTGCATGCTTTCATCATGTCTCAGCTGTGTCTGTCCTTCGTTATTTGTGCATCCACTTGCCACCTCCTTCCTAGGTTTTCATCTTATGAAGAACTTCCGCTGTTCCAGTTCTCTCTGCACAGCTTGCTTGCTCCAATGGAACGTAAGTTACTCTGGCAGGGAGGTTGCCTGGATCTTGGTTACCAGTTTGACAGAATTTGCATTTCCAGGACACGGCCATGTTGCTCATTCTTAGCTTCTGAATTTGATATGTGATATTTATGTCCATAGAGGATGGCTTTTTTTTCTTTCAACTTAAATGTTTCAACTTCTTTAAAATTCTGGTCATTGTCATAAAGCTAGTTTAAATTTTCAACTAAGGCATTCAAGTTGGCCTCTTTTGTCAGCCCCACTTACATTCACTTTTACTTTTAACGTCTACAAAGTACTTTCTGATGTCTTCCAGAAAGATGTAGTATGTATCATTTGATGGATGGTTTAGTCAATGAGTGATACTTCTCAATATCACTGAAGGTTCTTAGTAGGTACAGATGCACCTTATGTTCTATATCCAAATTGTTCATTTTCTTAAGAAACTACCAGACTTAGAAACAGACTTGATACCATTTTTAAGAAAGATGAACATTTATTTACTGTTAGCAATATATAAATAATGATATATATGCATTATATATGACATATATAATAAGTATTATTATATGCTAATAAAATTATTAAATTATATATTTTTWAAAAATGTATGAATTAATCAAATAATCCTTGCTGATCTGAAGTAATTTGACAGTATACTATTTCTATTTAAATATATTTAGGATATATGTATTCCTATGAAATATCAATTGTATTGTAAAAAAGTATTACCATATTAATATTTAATTGTCCAAGATAATGAGAGCCACTGAACAGAAAATATAGATTAGTTGTAGTTGTCAATACCTTTATTTTATTTATTTATTTTTATGTGGTGCTGAGGATTGAACCCAGGGCCTCCCACAAGCTAGGTGAGTGCTCTTCYACTGAGCCATAACCCTAGCCCAAAATTGGTAGAAAATATACACACAGAAGTTTCCAGTTGACTTTACATCTTGTCTGAAATGAACTTAATTAAATATGAGTGGCATTTTATTAATTACAACTCTTTGTTTCATAACTTATAATATTCTTCTGGCTGAATGAGGAAATAGAGGCAAAGGAAGGAAGAAGAGGGAGGAAGAGCATATTAAAAGTTTGCTGCATGTCATTCAAACACACACTGAAACCCACACTAAAAACTGAAGGTTGATACTTGAATTTGCTGTTGAGTCATAACTGGTATAGACTCTAAAATACCATTCCAAACTTGCAAACTTAGATGACAGTGAAAAATATAGTATAAACAATTTTGGGCTAGGGTTGTGGCTCAGTGGAAGAGCACTCGCCTAGCTTGTGGGAGGCCCTGGGTTCAATCCTYAGCACCACATAAAAATAAATAAATAAAATAAAGGTATTGACAACTACAACTAAAAAATAAATAAAAAAGAGATAAATCCACATTGAACAATTTTTTACAAAACTTCATTGGAGTTCTTGAAGTCAGACATTTTAGAATTCTGCTACAAAACTATACTATGATTTGCTTTAAATAATTTCCTGTGCGCAAAATTTCCAAGAAACTATAGAATTAAACTGACCTTTCTAACAACAGAAAAATAGGGATCAAAGATTGAAAAGAAATAATCGATGCTTACCATTAAACTTTTAAATTTTCTATTTTCTGCAATGTGAAAAAAGCCATCTCTTGTTAAAATCTTGATGTGCTTTGCTTCATTATTATACCTATGGGCAATGAATAACTTATGAATATAAATGTGTTTTTAATCAGTAAAAATCAATAATTACCAGAGGGCATGCCCCAATAACATTATAAGAATTAATTCCAAAGACAAAATATATAACTATGCCAATACAATGGTGACAGCTAATTAACAAAATATATTTACTAGATTGGTTGAAGATACGACCAATATTTGAAGGAAGGGTGGGGGTGGACTTGACTAATGATTATACTTAATTTACAAAGTTAAGTTTGAGAAGCAGAAAAAAAAATAAGACAAAACCTAATATATACTTAGAATTTATTAGAAATATACACACATCAAGTCAACAAAATATAGTGTTATGAAAGAAATCTAATATGCCAATTAGCAGCCTATAACACTTATTGCTTTCTAACAGATATTTTCAAGTATTAATGAACTGTCTGAATAGATGCATTATTTCTGCTGCAATTAGAACCTTGGTTTTCAACTTCAGTGTTATACATGTCAGATGGTCTATGCAATTATGAAAACAGGAAATCTATTTCTGTAAAAGTACTTGTCCTACTTACTTAATGCTAATTGCATATTCTCCTGACTCTTTGGTCCTGTGCCTCACAAGGTAAGTACTATTTACCCTATTAATAAGTTCAGTCTCTGCCTGCAATCTTTCCATTGCTCCAGCATACCTGTAAGAAACAATGAAATGGAAAATTTGGATAATGTAACTGAAAGGGAACAGAGGCTAAAAATATGGATCTGTCAGGATTTTAATTTAGTAGCAGATCTGATCTGTTCTTACTTCCATATGAATTACATTGCTTCAAAATAATTTGGAAAAGCCCTTTAATATGTCAAAACACAAATGTTCTACGAAGCTAACCACAGCAAAGTGAACAGTGCCTAATACACAGTAAGCACTCAGTAAATATTTATGAAATACATAAAAAGAGGATCCAGTAGGCATTGAGTCACAAAGACAGATGTGGGAAGTTTAGAGACAAGTGGAAAAAGACTTGCCCTTCAGAAGAAACACACAAACACACACATACACACACACACACACACACACACACACACACACACACATGCATACGCATGTTCTCTTCACCTTTTGTATACACACTATGAAATCTCTTTTGAGCATCTTCAGTCCACAATTTTGATAACTAATTTTCTTAAGAAATTTATAATAATAAGTAACACTTACTTTTAAAAGTTAGATAGTTTTCAAACTCAGAATTCAATTTTCCCTAGATTGTGGGCCTTTAACATAACCAAACTCTATAATAATAAAAACTATCATAATAAAAGCCCCAAATATAATGTTAAAATATTCTTGAATGACCTTGAATGACCCTCTTACATCAAATATAGGTGTTAYATTGACTGGAAAAATAGATCAGAGATTTGGGGCAATAGAAATTAAAGAAAAAAAGCTTTTGTTTAGTTTTGTTCTCTTTCAAAGCTCTTTATGGCTTAATAGTCCAGAAAATTCTCTGATTTACACATAGATTCATATAACTATAAATATCCAAATGTAATCTACACTAATTATTTATTTTAAATGCATATAGGCATTCAACAAAAGTATATTGAGGGAGGGCATGTTAGGTTTCCATCAAATACAAAGGGACCTGAAGGCATTTATGCTGTAGTAACTTGAGTTATAACAATCCATGAACTCTAGGACCTGATGTGATATGATTCATGCCTACCAATTCAACCTTATCTCTTACTACACCCTTTATCTCTGTCTCTGGCCTTCTTTCAGCTCCAAGAATTCATCAAACTCCTTTTTAATTAGTCTCCTGGAAGACTGTGTTCTTTGTCTGGAAAGATACCCTCCAGCAACATAATTCCTTCAGGTTTAGAGAGTGAGGTTTTCCTGAGCATCCCATCTAAAGAAAGTCATCCTACATTTTGTACCCTCCACTCCATTATTCTCATTACAGTACCCCTATTTTCATAGCACATATCATAATTAGTAGCAATGAATGCATTTTGGGGTGTGTGGGTAATGGGGATTTAACTCAAGGGCACTTGACCACATCCCTAGCCCTATTTTTTTTTTTTGTATTTTATTTAAAGACAGAGTCTCACTGAGTTGCTTAGCCCCTTGCTTTTTGCAGAGGCTAGCGTTGAACTCAGGATCCTCCTGTCTCAGCCTCCCATGCTGCTGGGATTACAGGTGTGTGCCACCACACCTCAGCAACATCCAGCTGATGAATGCATTTTTATCAAAGTGATACAAAAACAATTTAAAAGGCAACTTAGGCTATAAAAACATAATGAAAAGGAGAAGTACTCCATCAAACATCCTGCTCTGAGCATCACTTCAAAGAATTTAAAACTTTTTTCCTTATTTCTACTTGCATATTTTTAAATAACATGCTCATACTACAATTTACTACATGTCATCTTAAGCGTAATGAAGGAATGTCATTTTCCCCAATGCCCAATGCTTGCCTTTCTTCATGATGCTGCTCTTTGCTCTTTCTGTAACCTCTACAAACCCGAGCTGTCATCCGACCTAGTTTTACCAGGTTATCACATAAGACTTCATTTTTTGTTTTCTCAAGATATTTTATGTAAGCTGGGCACATGGTGCACACCTATGATCCTAGCAGCTCGGGAGGCTGAGGCAAGAGGATTACAAGTTCAAAGCCAGCCTCAGTGACTTAGCAAGACCCTGTCTCTAAATAAAATATTTTAAAAATGGCTGGGAATGCGGCTCCGTGGTTGATTCTTTATGTCTATTACAAATTCTTTCCAAATCCTTCAAATAAACTCCTGAATAATACATTTTCAATGCTTCACACTGTCTCTTTTGATTTTTTCCCCCCTCTGGAGTGACTTCTTTTGAACATTTCCAATCTCTTGCTTCCTCTCTAACCCTGCTGAATGTCTGTGGTCTTGAGACTTCCCTTGCTTTCCTTTCCTAGATTCTGAATATGCCTCTTCCTTGGCTTCGTAGCTCATCCTTCAGCTTCCTCCAAGTGGACACATGGATTGTATCACTCCTAAGGCCCACATTTATGAAAATAGAGTAGGAACCTTGGTATTTATCTCCTGTTCTACATGAAGATTTTCAAGTAATTCTCCAGTTTCTAGGCCCATGACTCGTCTTTGCTTTTTGACACCCTAAAACATAGATTATTGAAGATAATCGCCTTGATTTTCCATTTTRTTTCATGGCCTATATAAGAGACAAAAGCTACCTTGTGCGAACAACCTCCTTTAAATGTGGAAATAATGAGCACGTAATACAGTTGGTAGTATTCAACGTCTCAGTGACTTGAGAACTACCATGCTATCATTCAGTGTAATTTTCTCTAAACAGTTTAGTATTTCTAAAATTGAAGGTTCCATTTTCTGGTGTGGTTGATCATTTTGTTCCCTAGCAGAAGACATTTCACACAAAACTGCCTGCTTAGTTTGAATAAACTGTCCAGGTTGYTCAAGGGAGGGGAGGAAAGTAATTTTAAATTCTACTATGAAATATCTTTATTTCTTCCTATTTTAAGGCTCTCCCTTTGTCTGAACATCTTGATTTTTTATCATAAGGAATAATATTATTCTAACCAGTCATATTTTCAATAGAATTTTATGTATTGGCAAGGGTGCATTTTAAAACAAAGAGTCCTGATTCATTCCCAAATACATGATTAAGCTTGTTTCATAAAATGTCTGTAATCTGCAGCATTAGTATTTATCTCTCAGGTATGGCCCTGTAACAATAATACCTAGTTACATGAAAAGTGGGAGGAGGAAAAAGAAGGACTTCAATCATAATACTGCCATGATTTGTATCTGATCCTGATGTTTTTCAGTTTGTCCATGCTATTAGCTGTAATGTCCAAATTTAATTCTTGTCAGGACTATAGTTTTCAATTCCACAAAAACTAAGACCTAGAAATTGTCTTAAGTCAGGCAAAAATGACTTTCCCAGTTCTATCAGAAAACCTCCAATACTTTCAGCAAGCTCTGTGCTGAGGCTCAGAGGGTACAGCAGAGAAGGCAGATAATGACTCAGAAGGCAGAAGTGGCTGCTGAAAGAGGCAGAGGGCATGAGGGAGGGGAAGAATCCTATACTTTGGGCAATGGATTCCTAGGCATTGCAAAGCAGACTGGCATCTCCCATTTTACTTACAGCACAGAAAGTAACCAGAAGGTTTAAAAAATATCAGACAACTCAGGTGGTGTCTATACTTGCAAAGTGAATTAGGACTACACAATCTCAGGATATCTCATTTCTGTATGTACCCTGATCTCTCATTTATATGCACATACTTAAACATCAGGAAAGAGAAAACATATTCAGTCATTTTAAGAGGAGTCAAAAAACATTCGGAGAAACAAATGCAAATGAATACTATGCTCATGTTTTGTATTTTGAGAGGCTGTATAGCAATGTGCAGACGGTATTACCTGGATTCACTCACTGCATGGCCCTAACCTTTCTTTTTTCATCCATAACAATAAAAATAATAATCTTCCTCATATGAATGTTAGAAAAACAAGATGAAATAAAACATGCAAAATATAAAGCACATACTAAGTACTCAGTACATATTAATTGTTATGATGACAATTATAACTATTCCAGATCCTAAACATATTTTTTACATTTAAGATATCTAAAAAATAATTACTGTTAATCCTCRGTTCTGCTAATTATATTGCCAGCCTCCAAGTGGTAAGTATGTCACCTATCTACACCCAAAGATATGTGGCTATATTTACTGCTCCTATATATTGCAAATTGTATTTTTAGACTCTACTATTCTTTTTGAGCTAATTCTTAGTTTCATACTCAAATGATTCATATTTTTCTCTCTGCCTCATGAAATCTGTCTTTCTAAAATACAAGACACATATTTACCTATGCCCCATTCTTTCTTGTGGCTGTTATAAACTTTTCATTCATAGTCTAGTGCATTCATGTGCTCGCACATGCACACACACACACACACACACACACACACACACACACACCACTCTCTGATAAAGATACAGAAAGGCCAGCAATATATGGATTCATTATGATGTTTTGTTACATCTGAAAATACCTTTAGCGAGGACAAATGGAAATGGAACATGGTTTACTACCCCCACATTTAAGGCATCCTCAAGGTAAGGGTATGGTATTTCAACTTAGCTACATAAACATTTTTAATACTTACCAAGGTTGGCAAGAATAATCTACTGGTTTGGGAACCTAGGATATAAAAAGGCAAAAATAGATTAAGTTTACTTAAGGGAAGCTTTTAGAAATCAATCATTAATTCAGTTCAGCTGACTCAGCTCTATAAAACCCTTAAGTAGTACAGCCCTAGAACTATCCATTGGCAATTTTATACAGAATGAATCATAGTATATGTYAGATACGTAGAAAATAATTCATTTCACTTTAATTCATTCTTTCATTCATTTTATTGCTGCTGTACCTCCAAGGGGAGAGATAGCAGGAAAATATGAACTAGAAACTTTCAATATTTATTATCAAGGCAATTTAATCCTATCATAGAAAACTAAAATGAAAATGTTATTAAGGAAATCAAATAGCACTTCGGTTTCACATTAAGAAAACATGCAAAATAAATAATAAACACTGGATGAAGAATMTATTATTTAACGAATTCTAAACTCTGATTTTAAAGTCTACCAAGTGGAAAACTTTTATTCGGGAAAATATCATGGAAAATATCCATTTCCCCCTTTTCTCAGATARAGCTTCACAAAAGAGAAAAGTCTTACATATTCCATTCTAATTTTTAAAAAATGTTCTTTTAGCAGCTGAAGGCAACTAGAAAATGAATAAAGCCAGAGAAGGTAAACAAATATTCATAAAATAACAAAATCCATTCTATAGAGAGGAGACACATCTATAAGTTCCTGAGAAAAGATGGAAGCATAGGTAGTCTCGTGTTCAGAAAAGTTTCATGAATGATCTGAGTCTTTGACATATCCCATGGTATTCCGGGGTTTTGTCATATAGAGTGATCAAAACTACTGTTACCTTCAGTTGTAGTAAACTATAGAATATAGCTGTGATGTTTAAATACCGAATATAACTGTGCTGTTTAGAATCTTCATCACTCAGAGACTTAGGCAGAATTTATACACAGAATTTGAGGTTGTCCATCTCTTGTCTCATTCCTTTCTAACATTTCTTATCTCCCTCTCCAGCGGTTGTGGTTGTTTTAAACTCCAGACTTGGTTCTTCAAKTTGGAGATACCCTAAGGTTTCTAACTGAATTTTAACCTAGTTGAATTCCACAACCTAGTCCTTGCCCTCAAGCTATCATAAAACTTGGATATCATTCCCTTTTCCAAGAGGCAAKTCTCCTAGTCAGTGCCTTCAGACATTTTGTTTTGTTTTTATATTTTGTTCATATTTTACAGCTGTTACCTGTAAAAGGACTGGCACAATTGGAGCTACTTAATATTTTTCCAAGGTAGAAACTCTTCTTGCTTCCATATACTGTTGTTATCTAGCATTATTAACTGGCTATGTATAGCCAGGGAGTGGCCTTTGCCTTTTACTCCTTTGTTCATTCATTCAACAATTATTTTTGAAAGCCCATTTCATGTAAGACCATCTCTAAAATAAAACTTAAAATGCTCATTTTGTACTATATTCAAGATGTCAAAAAACAGATGATAGCATTTGTTACATGGAATGGTTAATATTCTTGATTTGATGCCTCCAGATCCCAAAATATCTTAATATTAGCATACATAATCTCTTGCTACACGCCTATGGATACACATCACTGCTTTACAGGTAGGAAGCCTGAATCTCTCTCATTCAAATGACAGAAAACTAGCTAAACAATCATTGTTACTTATCTAAGTAAATAAGAGAAGTATCAAACTTCAACAATCATTCAACATTATAACATAATCTTAAAAAGTTTTTATATGTGACATTAGATCAYAGAACCAAAAGAATAAGAAATGCTTATTTATTTTTTTAAGTAATTGAGCCTAAATGAATGTAGTAAATTATCTTATGGACTACCTTCTGAAATCAAGGGTAGCAGACACTTTTTTGTTTTTATTTTTATTTCTTTTATTGATACTGGGAGTTGAACCCAGGGATGCCAAGCCACTGAGTCACATCTCAGCTTTTTTGAAAAAAAAAAAAAGTTTTATTTTGAGAAAGGGTATCACTAAGTTACTGAAAGCTTCATTGGTTTCGGAGGCTGGCTTTGAACTGACAATCCTCCTGCTTTAGCCTCCAGAGCCGCTGAGTTTACAGGTGTGCTCCTCACATTTGTAATATTAAAAATAATGTCCGATTTAGAAACACAGACACAATTTAAATATAGCAAGAAAGATAGTTTAAGAAGAGTTTTGAGGAGCTGGGGTTGTGCCTTAGTGGTAGTGTGCTTGCCTAGCATGTGTGAGGCACTGGGTATGATTCTCAGCACCACTTACAAATAAAAAACAAAACACAAAGGTCCATCAACAACTAAAAAATATTTAAAAAAGAAGAGTTTTGAGGGTTTTCTTTTTTCAAAAAATCATCTCTACCATATTAGTAAAAAAAAATTCATTTACTTTGGACTCAATAACTTCAAAAAAATTTGTGGAAATTTCCACCCTAAATGTCAAATTAAGATATTAAAATCATATCACCCCAAATAAAAATTTATCAATATCATAAATCACGAGAGTACATTTTAGTTATATTCACCTACATTATTTTAGTAGTCATTCATTCTCCTTTTATTTGTATTTGATGTATTTAGAAAAAATCATTATGATATTACATAAATAATAATGACATATTAAAGTATAAAAATGTATTTAGAGATTTGATTAAAGAATTTGTTACTTTTCACTTCCTAGCATGCTTTACAGTATATCAACTGAATGTAAATTCTTTCTGTAGCACAAGTGTGTGGGAATAGCTTAGACCTTACCACTTAATTTTGTAAATTCTTGTTAGCTAAATTTGTCTCTTGAATATATTAACATTTTAAAATATTTTCAGACAACTGATTAAAAAATGATGTTCGAAATAATAAGATCCCTTCAGAAAATATTAATAAAGCTATTGAGCAACTTGACCAGTACTCTTTCTTTGTATATTTCTGCACAACTGATCATAGCATCAAAAGTTAAAAAAAAAAGAAATAAAGAAATAAAATACTAGTACTTACACATGGAGAAGGCTTGACAGCATCACTTGGGAAAAATCCAACTTCTCCTGAAGCCAAGTTTCTACCCTAAGTTATGAAAAAAAAAACTCCGGGGTTCAGAACAAAATGATAATTCCATAACACTGCTTATATACTGTTGTTACTGAGGATGCTTAGAAGGACTTACATCTTATATCCAGTCCTAAATATTAATTTACTATGGCTTAGAAAAAGAAGCAAAATTAGAGATTTTTTTTCTTGATTGTTCAACTTGACATGTGGTTTTAGGTCATTTATTTTTAAATGTACCATTCAATTCTGTTACCTTTCCATCTCTCAAGCTTATCTAGAGATGGAGTCTAAGAATGGCTAATACTTATTGAACCCCTTCTATATGATAGACGCTGCTCTGAGTGTTTCTTTGAATTTAAACAACAGTCCTCTACATTAGGTCCAATTACTATTCCCATATCATAAAGGAGGGAAATGAGACTCAAGAAGTAAATGATTTGGCCAAGATCACASAGCTAACAAGTGCCAGAACCAGAATTCAAACTCAGGTGATCTCATTTCAGAGCTCTGCACTACTTCTCTATACAGTGTGATGCTTAAGTATACTAGAAAATAAAGCTAAAAGGAAGCGAGAGTCATTCTATGATATCTTAATTTTATCATTGCTTGGTGGCATTTTACCAAAGGGGCTGCATATTTTAGAAGAATTAAACTGGTGCCAATGTGAAAAATGATTTCTAGTTGGACATGGGTTTGCAGATAAGATTAGTATTAGGAAACTGGTACCATGGTAGAAAAGGAGGACTGAAAGAGGAGAATCAGGTGAAGACATTATTTAACTGGAATCTGTGGGACTTGCTTGAGGATTAGATATGAAAAGAGAAGAGTAGGTGAGTTAATTACTGGGAGAAATGTCAAGGATGGGGGTAAGGGTGATTCCATAATCCAACCAAACAGATAACTGACAGAAATGACCATCATACAGAGAGGAATCAGGAAATCATTGGAGCAAACTGACATGGGAGGAAATATGTAGAGAAGACAGAGAAATTAGTGTCAACAGAAGGCAGGTAGCAACCATTAGGAGAAGAAACAGAGACTAAGGGAGTGACAGTAAGAAGCACAGTAACTATAAAGTTGGAATGAAGTGTTTCTTTCACTCAACTGTATTGCTGGGTGGTCTGTGGTGCTTTATTGTAATCATGACACTGAGATACAAGTAAATAAGAATAATATTTGGGGACCATCCATACTCTCATATATAAGTGTACTACAATGCCACCTAAGTGTAAAGTATACAAGTCTGTGGGTAGGAACCACACATTGATTGCACTTAGAAGAGAAAAAAAATGAGTGATATTTCCWAAAAAAAGATTATTAAGACCTCTGATAGATAATGCACTAAAAAGTCTATTTGGCAGATTAAAGGCCAGAGAGTAAAAGCTTTTTTTTTTTTCCTAAAGCTGTATTTGGAGGTGCACAAACAAATTGAAAAAATTATGGCTATTTTAAGAATTGAACTGTGAATTTCCCTTATCAAAACAACAAAATATCTTAATCTATAGAATGCAGAGTTCAGGTGATATTTTTGTTACAGTACAAGATGGCCAAGTAATACCATCTACTTCCTTCAGCAAAACTGACAAAAGGACCCTTGTATGGAAGGATACTTCCATATAAAACCATCCCCTAGCTACAGATCCTGATTTAATCCCAAGCCTGTTTTCCCACTGCACCTTCATATCCTCTTAGTAGCACAAAAATTAGTAGTACTTTGGTAGCAAACTAGTAGTACTTTGGCAGACCAAGTAATAATTGCTCTACCTGTTCTTCTCCATTATTTGACGATGAGTTTTTTGAGATCAAGAACAACACGTCTGTCATTTTTGTGTTACCCAATTTAGGACACATGGCAGGCATTTAATAAGTGTGAACTGAAGTATCTTACATTTTGATAATCCCATGTCATTGAATAGTTAAGACCCAAACTTCCTCTTCACTGAAACAAATAAACTATAACACACTTCATCTTTACACCCCAACCAGTAAAAGCACTACGCTGCTGGTTCCTATATAAAAATATTCACATAGTGAATAATGACCTGTCCCTGACATTTTATATAAGAAGCATGGGTTGGAGAATGCAATGCCACAGAGGAGAAAGAAGGAWGAATATACAAAAAGTGAAATAGTAGGAGGAAGTTTACAATTTTTTATAATTTAGGAAAATGTATGACTGGCATTTTTTTTCCTCTATCTCCTTTTGTAGAACCAAGTGGTCCACAAGAAAGGCATGAATAGGAACTGAAATCATCCTAGATGGTTGAGAAAGGGACCACAGTGTAAGAAATGCTGTAAAATGGGGTGATTTTTTCATTTTCCATCCAAACCAGGCCCTTTTGGGATTTAAATGGGTAACAGTTCATAATGATGCAAGGATAAACTGGATAAATTGATATACTGATATCTGAATAGACTACTGAGGGGGATGGCCTAGGTGAAGGAAGCAGGCTACTGGGGACATGCCCTGAAAGGGTTTATCTCCCTGCACTCCCTCTACTTCCCATCTGCCATGAGCCCACAGTTATCATCCACCATGTTTTTTTCACCTTAATGCTTCTGCCTTGGAGTCATCAGACCATGGACTGAATCCTCTCAAACAATGAGCCAAAATAGATTTTTATTTATCTACATTGTTTTTTTTTCCAGGTATTTTCATTATAGCAATGAAAAGCTGACTAATGGTCATCCCAAATCACTTCTTTCTTGATGAAATGCCCTAGAGTGCAGTTAACGTTTCCTTAATGGTCACACACATTCCTTAGATTGACAGAGAGAGGAGAAAAAATTTAATCTATCTTAACAGATGAATAAAGTTAGAATTCCTTACAAATTCTTATGAGACATCAGTTTTAGCTATGACAGATAACATGTGCTATATTCAATTATTTCATTTATTAAGGAAATGGCCATCCCATAACATTTGGAGAATTCAAAATAAAGTAGTGTGCAGGAAGGAAGTCTTTGCTTCCTTGGGGGATGTGGGTAGGATACACAATGGTAATTCTTAATACTAATGGATGGAGCTGCTGCCAACCCCCTACATATGCAGGGAATTGCAGGCTGTAACCATGAAATAAACCATCCTCAGATCCAGTGATTTAGTTCACTTAATGTGATGATCTATCTATGAGATTGTACTAACCTTGATGAGAGACATGTAACTGAATTTCTTCCTTTATATTCCTGTGTGGGCATTTTATTCTGGGTCAGATAACCAGGTTGTCATCTTTTTTTTTTTTAATGCGTATTACAAATTCCAGAGATAGGGAATCATCTTTTAGCAACCTTTCTGTCTGATATTTGTTCTGTGAGTTCCTTAATATCTTCAAGGTCAACTTGAAAATATTCCTCTTTTATACTATGTGTCATCTGATATACCATATGGTACTATCTTTATATGCATTTATTCTGCAGGGCATCTTTGTATATGTGATGAGAGTTTTGGAAATTTAACATTACAGGTTGGGTCATTTTATGAAATTTTTTTCTTTGGAATGTACCTGAGAAAATAGATTATGAGATGAATATGGTGAGAATATGGTACACTTTTATAACTGTCATTAAGTAAATTGAAGCAAATACAAAGCAAAATATTAAATTACAATTCATAAAATAATAATACCTTTTTACTGACAAGCAAATTGCTTCCTGTAGAAAAATGTATCAAACTAAAATTACTGACAACTTTCTCTGAAATTCTGAACATCAAAAGTATAAATGCATAGTCAAGCATTTATTTATTTCTAACTGACCTTAGGTTTAACTAGTCCTCATTCTTCTTCAAAAAGAATCCACAGTGAATCGTAATAAATTAAAACTACCTTACTGCTGGTAGAAATTATACTTAAAATTTACCTGAATAGAGAAAAACATTTTCCAGGATACCAGAGCTARAAATACATTTTAAGCCCATAGACAAGGAAGGTTAAAAATGACAGGATAWCCTACAAAAATCTTAATCATAAATTGCTTGGTTCCTAACTTTGTAAAAGAAGAAAGAATTGCTTTAAGAAAAATACAGTATCTCTTCCCCGGGCCTCATTTATTCCTTTAATACTACCTGGATTGTAGCTTTAATGCACTCCTGAACTAGTACTGAACAATTTGAAACAGATGTGGAAAGCTGAATGCAAAAGGGAAAGATTAATGGTTATTTATAAAAGATTGGAAATTCTCCAGTTACAATGCTTTAACCACTCTCAATGTATGCATGGAGATGCTGTGGAGATTAATAAGCAATTTATCACACATGGCTAATGGACAGAGCAACTGTCACCTTGCCCAGTCACTTCTCTTTTATGAGAAATACACAGTTTGAGGGTGGGCAGGGGAGGGGAGTAGAAAGACATATAATGTGGCCATGAATTACAGGAAAATAAGCAAAGATGTATGGAAATTAGTTTATTTACTGGATGGGTGAATAAATGGGCAAATAAAAGGGTGGTTGGGCAAATGAATAGATAGATGAAAGCACAATTTTTGGAATTATTCTGATAAGTGTTGTGAAGACCAGTTATGAAACAAAAAGTCCAGAAAATTGGAGATGATCAGGAAAAGACCTAATCTGAAACTGGCCTTTTATAAGGARTGATTTCTCATCATAGCTGCAACCATACTGTAACCACTGTCATCAGTCAGATATATGTCCAGGCCAGTTCCTGAAATGCAAAGAAAGGTGGTATCATAGGGATATTGCATCAGAAGAGTTCATTCTATTCCTGGCTGTGCTATAAAAAGCTGTGCGACCTTAGGCAAGCCTCCATGGTAAAACAGGAATGACGACAACACATACTTCACCAGGGTGTTACAGGATAAAAGAATTAATAGGTGTGAATGCACTTTGTAAAGCTATGTACTTGATTTCTATTTCATCCACAATATTGTTTTTTAATTATCTCAATTGATTCCTTTATTTCTAAATCTTCAGTTTTTATTGGCCCATTCATGTGTTATTAAAATGGAAATACCTAATCCTGTGTGTAATTGCACCATTCTCTCTATATTAAAGCACA